CCTCCTCCAGGGCCTTTTAGGAGCTGGGGGTGGAGGGCAGAGTGGGAGGGCACAATCTGCAGCAGACACAGCAGCAGGGAGGTGTGTGGGACGAGGATGAGAGCTGGCAGGTGTCACATCTGGCCAGAGCCGGGGCGGGCGGGCGCTCCGGTGGCTGTCACCCCCATTAGCAGCAGCCTCATCCCTCCCTGATCTGTTTCCCATCCCTGCAAACCCCCCCCTCCAAATCCTGTTATTAACCCAGGGAAGTCAGGGCCAGAGCCTCCAGCAGTAGAGCCAAGAGCTTAGCTAGGATTTAACAAAAAAAAAAATTGATTAGATATTTCGGGGAGATATTCAAGAGCAGTTAAATATGCCCAGCTCATCGGTGCCTTTGAAAAATCTCACCCCTCTAAAAAATTAGAATTGATTTTGTATTTAAAAAGGAATCTATTTAATTTAAAAGTAAGATAATTTGAAATCATGACAGCTTGTATTAAGGCTGGAGTTTATGATAATCTATTAAAGTCATTGAAGTTAAGAACCATCTCCCATCCTCTGCTGGCTGAGGCTCCCGGGAGGGCAGTGGGGAGTGGGAAGTGGGGAGGTGAGGGGCTGCACTGCCCTAATTCAGAGCAAACCAACTGGGCTGGAAACCTGGAGAGGCAGAAGTACCTCCTTCAGCTCCTCTGCACTCAGGGGGAAAAAGCCAGCATGCAAAAACCACCCAGTATTTCAAGATCTTGAAATATCTGGCACCCAGAAAGCACGAGTTCAACCTGTCAGCTCTGCTTTCTCATTTCTCAAGTCGATTTTACACTCAAAAAGGTATTTCAAGACTTTACTTTTCAAACATTTATTGCATTACAAAGAAGGCAAAGGAGTCAAAGACTCCTTCTTTGGCGTGGTTTTTAATTGCATCACAAATCTCTGTCGACCCCAAGGGGCTGAGGGAAGCCAGGATGCTCATAAATACCCCTCTTGCTACTTTATAACCTGCAAAGGATGGGGCCCAAAAAATTAGCAGCCTGCAGGAGTGTGAATCCAGTTAATGACATATCAAATGTGGCTGGATGCTGCCGAGCCAAGCAGCGAGGGAGAGGGGGGTGTGAAGGGGAGCGGACAGGGAATATTGAGCTGCAAATTAGCATTTCTTAATGGCACCAACCAGCAAAATGCTTCCTCCCTTCAGGAAAAAAATACAACTAATGCAACAAACAGAAAATGAAATGAAAGGCAGCCATTCCAAATGAAGGTTTGCTTGATTGAAAGCAGGATGAAAGCAGGATGAAAGCAGGTGGTTTTAAATGTGGGCAGCCCCGTGCGCAGCAAGCGGCCTCAGCCCAGCTCCCACACCCTCAGCACTTCCCAAAAACTCAGGAGCTGGGGGAAAACCCTACAGTAAAATGGGGAGATGGTGTTGGAGTCCCTTTGGGGATAAAGATGTAACCCAGTGTGGGGTTTATTGGTGAGAGCCCTGAGCTCTCAGGCAGGCAGCGAGGCAGCACGTGCGCAATTAAAACTCACTCCACTCATTAGCAAAAAGAGCTGCAAAGCAGGGGAAAGCCTTGTCCAAGCACCTCACAGAAGTCATAACCCCACAGACAGCCCATCTGCTTTTGGAGGAACAGAGAAGCAGAGAGCAGGCCCCCAAATTTGGGAGATCTGAGCACCAAAGCACTCACAGCTGTCTTGGGCAGTGGGATGGACACAGCAGGGAGGGTGAGACCCAAAAATGTGCATGGAAAGCAGGCAGCAAGCCTCCTGTGTAAAGGTAAATATAAAACTCATCATTAATTTATGTCACCAGAGCTCCCCATCAGGGCTATCAGGGGTCAGGAGTCACAGCCATTTTTGGCATGCCCAGTTCAACAGCTCCCCCCAGCACCTCAGCTCTAGCAAGCACCATTTGTGGCTCTCCAGAGATCCCAGCACATCTTTAGTTGGGAGAAAAGTCCATGCATCCATCAGTGGGAGGTTCCCTGGTTTGGCCATGGTGGCAGGGAGGTGTCACCAAGGCAGGGGAACCACACATGGCAGTGTTCATGAAAACCAGCCAAGCTCAAAAGCCCCTGAATTATTTAGGAAGAATTTGAGGGGGACACCAGGACAAGAAGCAGATGATATCCCACTATCCTTGGGCTCCCTGATCCAGACCCTTTCTCAGATGCTCCCCTCACTCATCCCCCTACTGTAGCCACTTTCCTGCATGCTCACACCCTCTTTGAGGGGAAACTGAGGCATGGAGAGGACCCCCCCCTCCCACAAAGGGAGCTGACCCAGAGCCCACATGGCAGAGACAATGGTGCTTCCAGCCCAAAGCCAGGCCCTTTCTGCCCAGGGGCAGCACCTGGGTCTGCTCCAAGCCCATCAGCCAGGGTGGTAGCTCACCTTCCCTTGGGAGCCCCTGCCCTGGGCACACGCCTGAGATCTGGAAACCACCAGAACAGAAGCAGCAGCTGTCCCTGGTTCAGACACTGACCCAGACCAGGCTCAGGAGTCTGTGGGGATCATCCCCCACTCCAAGACATTATTTATTGCACATTCAAACTCAAGGGGTCTGGGTTTTGCCAGGGATGGTGCAAGAAGCACTGTGTGAAGCCCCATTTCTGGGAAGATGCTCAAACACACCCTCCAGTCCCTGCACAAGGGCCTGTGAAAACACAAACAGCCACTCACACCAGCTCCAGGCATCAACCTGACAGCCATGTCCCAGCAAGTGAGCAGCGTGTGCAGTGACAGCACTGATGCTCTTGAGTTTTTTGGGATGGGGAACCTCCAAATCCAGAGGTTGCAGCCTCTGAGTTGCCAAGCCTGGGTCTTGCAAGACTTCTGTGCATTTCAGAGCTTCTGCCATGCAAAAGCAGTGTCCAGGCTAATAGTGGTGCTAGTAGTAGTAATAACAATAATAACAATAAAAATAATAATAATAAAAACAACAACCCCACACAGTAAAGCAGCACAAAACAGTGATACCCACAGATGGCAAAGTGGCCATGCCAGCTTCAAGGCAAGCCCTTGTGTCACAGGGAGAGGTAACATGGCATTTCCCAGAAGTCACCAAGCCAAACCCCTGGCAAAGAGGGGTCCCACGAGGTGCCAGCCCAGTCCCAGTCCCAGTCCCAGTCCCAGTCCCAGTCCCAGTCCCAGTCCCAGTCCCCCCCTCTTGCCAGCCCAGCCCCAGCATTCCAGGCAGGAAGACCTGAACTGGGATCACCTCTGTGTCTCCACAGCCCAAACCCCTGCATGCTGGGGGCTGGCACAGCACCATGTACAGCCATGTTTTTGGGGGATCAATGTCCCAAGCAGCAATGCCCCAGAGAGCCTGGCCAGCACCAGGACACCAGGCTGCACTGGCACAGGGCTTGTCACCCTTGCATTTGTCTGGCAGCAGAGATCAGAAGGATGCAAAAGCAAACCCCTGCCAGGCATCCTCAGTGCAGCAGGGGCTGCCAGGGCAGGCAGCCTCTTTCCTGCACTGCCCAGTGTGTGGCACCTCACAGATTTGAAAAACCCCTGAGGAAAACCCCACAGCACAGGCTGGGGTCATGCCCAGGAAGCTCCTCCTGATCCCCACCCAGGTGCTCCCTGCTGGCTGCACTGAGCTCCCGGGGCCCACCGGGGTCTGGCCTCACAGGATCGGGTCTGAGGGGGGCAGAGGACGAGCGCTCAGGTGGCCTTTGGGGCACCAAGGTGGCCTTTGGGGCACCAAGGTGGCCTTTGGGGCTGGCGGCCGTGCGTCCCCTGCATCCGCAGCAGCGCTGCTGCCTTGTTGCCACAGCAACGCTCTGGGCCTCGCTGCAGCTTCCCGCAGCATCCCAGGGCTTGGGCTGGGATACAGGGGACAGCACAGCCCAGTGATCCTCCCACACAGCCCCTGCAGCCCGGCAGAACAGCCCTGGCTGTCCCCACACAGCCTCCCCACAGCACCAGCGTCCCCATGGCTGTCTCTGCCTCTCTCCCGGGAGAAGGGGGGTGCCCACACAGCAGCCACTGCTGCCCCAAGCCCACCCAGCAACCAGGACTGGGGGGTCTTAGCACATAGAGGGGTCCACAGGGCATGGAAGTGATGAGTTGCTGGGAAAAAAACCCAGTCTGGGGTCACCACTGTACACAAAGGTGGTACAGCGGGGCAATGTCACATCAAGCAACACACCAGGACCTCGTTTTTGGGCCAGCTTCCAAACAAGGGTGTCATTTTAAAAACTTCATGGGACACCCAAGGTGCAGCTGGAGAAGCAACAGATGGACAAGGCTTGCAGGAGGTGACACAGCCACTGTGGGGCTGCTAGGAAAGTGATGGTGGCAATGGCAAGGGCAGGATGTTATGTGTGGGCAAGGAAGGGACATTCTGCACCAATGTCACCAAAAATGAAATGTCTCAGGGTGGTGAGGAGGGATGCAGGTCCCTGCACACAAGGAAGGGGTGGAGGCCTCGCTCTGCATAAACAAAGGAGGAAATTGTTTGGCTTTTTTGGGGCTTAAGGAGCCCATGAGATCAGGGCAGATAAGCCTCACCCAGTGGATGAAGGGCAGGTGGGAACCATCCAGACCATGTGAATAGGCCAGAGCCTAAACCTGGGGGCAGAAGCACCGGGGGCTGCACGCACAGGCCGGGTGGGATACACTGAGCAGCAGAGTATTTTTCCATCAGGCTGCAGGGAAGGTGACTCCGCTCAGGGGCAGACAAAGCAGAAACCCTCACTCCCAGACTGCGGGCCTCCTGCCAGCACAGCCGCCGGTGGCCATCGATCGAGCCGGGGACGAGCCCCGTGGGTGACAACCTGGGCACGCAGCGAGCCCGCGATGCTGCGGCGGGGGGTACCGGTGTACCGGCCCCGGGGTGAGCCAGCCCCGGGGCTGGGCCGAGCTGCTGCAGCGGGGGGTACCGGCCCCGGGGCCGAGCCGCCGCAGGGCGCCCGCCCGCCGGTGCGGCAGGGAGGAGCCCGGCCACGGCCGGGGATGCTCGGGGCCCCGCCGCCGGGGATGCTCGGGGCCCCGCCGCGCTCCCGCAGGCTCACCCAGCACGAAGTAAGGCAGCTCCGTGTTCTCCAGGTCGTCCACCACCACCATCTCGCCGGGGAAATCGTTGCGGACCGAGAAGAGCAGCTTGGGCTCGGCGGCCGAGGGGCCGTGCATGATGCTGAGGTCGTTCTCCCGCAGGAAGGGCAGCGCCGACACCGTGATGCTCTTCAGCTTGCACTCCAGCTCCTTGGCCGCCGCCTCCGCCGCCGCCTCGGCGGGGCCGCTGCCCGCGGCCAGGCAGCAGCCGGCCAGCAGCGAGCACAGCCCGGCCAAAGCCATCTTGGAGCCCCGCGCCGCGCTCCCGGCGCCGGGCGGGAGGCGGCGGCGAGGGGCGGGCACCGCGCACCGGCGCCTCCCCGTGCGGCGCGGCTCGGCACGGCTCGGCTGCTCCGGGCCCCCGCCTCTCCCTTCCGCATCTTTGCCCGTTTGCCTCCCCATCCCCTGGGAGAGCGGGAGAAGAGCGGAGCGATGCGGTGGCGGGAGGGATGCGGGGCTGCCCGGCCTCCTTCTGCACTAGCATGCGGGTACCACCCCCGCTGCACTGGGTGTACTGCAGAACTCCAAAACCCCGCACCTCCAAAACCCCGCAGCTCCAAAACCCCACACCTCCAAAACCCCACACCTCCAAACCCCCACACCTCCAAAACCCCGCACCTCCAAAATCCCGCACCTCCAAAATCCCGCACCTCCAAAACCCCACACCTCCAAAACCCCACACCTCCAAAGCCCCACACTTCCAAAGCCCCACACCGCCAAAGCCCCACACCTCCAAAGCCCCACACCTCCAAAGCCCCACACCGCCAAAGCCCCACACCGCCAAAGCCCCACACCTCCAAAATCCCGCACCTCCAAAATCCCAGGCTCCAGAAATCCTCGGGGAAATCCCAGGCTTCCAAAACCTCACGAGGTATTATGGAGCCCAAAGCCCCAGAAGAAGTCACAGACCTCCAAATCCCTCAAGCCCACATGAAATATATATCATTTAGATATCATTGTCTGTATGTGTGCATGTGTGTATACATATATATATATGTATGTATATGTATATGTATATGTATGTGTATATACATATAGAGTGTAAGGGCAACCCCAAAACCACTGGATTTGGATCTTTTTCCCGAATCTGGATGCTTTCTATTTTCACCCTCTTTAGGTGAGCACAAAGCAGCACTGACAGCTCATCTGATAACCACACCTTCCTCCAGACACCCCAAATCTTCGGATGGAAATTGTTCTATTCTTCCACTGCAGGGGAAATGCCCAGTCCTCATCCCAGCAGGAATACCTGGCTGAGTTCTGCTGGTGTGGTTTTCCCAACGGGACTCTCCTGATGGCAGCCAGCTCTGGGTGTGGAGGCATCACAGAGCTCCCACACCATCTCCTCATAGGGACAGCGCCCCACCCCACCTGGCACCTCCAAAAAAAAACCACACACTGCAGATATTTTGATTTTTTTTATTATTTTTCTTTTGCAGTGCTCTCCACCTCCTCTTCTGAGGGTTTCCCTGAATTCCTCCTCCCTCATGTGTGCCAGCTGTGAAGCTTAACCTGCCCCAGGGATGGCATTGAGGGGGGACAGCACTGTGCCCCCCACACCCCAAGCAGTGGATGCTTTTCCTCAGGCTGATCTGTCTTTTTAACGCCCTGTATTTTTAACTTCCATGACATTTTGGGCAGGAAGGACTGTGCTGAGCAGAAATTACCCATTTTCAACAACCAGAGAGAAGCACTGAACCAAACCAGTGAGGATGTAGTGGTGGGTGCTTCAGCAGTGCTGTCTCCCTCCAGCAGCAACGGGCTCAGGATCAGGAGAAAACAGTAAAAATCAGAAAAAAAGGGGGGGGGGTAAATTTGGGATGGAAAATCAGGAACAAATAAGGAAAAATGAGCAGCGGTGTCTTGTAGGATGTGGCCCTCCTTTTGTGCTCCTTTTGGGGAGCACAGGGAAATCCCTCTGGATGACTTCCACAAGGCCCTTTCACTGCTCTTCTTTCACCAGGGGATATAAACTCATTAAAAGGAGCTTTTCCATTCTGAAAAATAAAATAAAAAAAAAAAATGCATTACTTAGAGCATGTCTCCAGCAAGGTTCTTCCAAGGTTTGGAAAAGGGATGCACCCCCAGGAGCGGTGGCCCTGGAACGCCTAAGGAGGTGTGAAGAGGAGCAAGGAAGGGGTTTGGTGGGAGGTGTGAAGAACACAGAGGGATAAATGGAACACACATTAAAACACCATCCGAGAATTCTAAATCTGGTGTCACTGACAGCATCCTCCTGCTGCTCACCGGGAATGACCGGCACAGGAGGGTGCCCAGAGAACCTGGGAATGTGGATCCCTGCAGGTGTTCCACGCCAGGTTGGCAGCGCTTGGAGCAACCTGGTCTAGAGGAAGGTGTCCCTGCCCATGATGGGAATGGGATGATCTCCAGGGTCCCTTCCAACCCCGCCATTCCCCAATTCTGGACATCCCGGGATGCTCTCCAGGCTCTCTCCCGTTCCCGATCCCGCACATCCCGGGATGCTCTCCAGGGGCCCCTTCCCGCCGCCGCATTCCCGATCCCGCACATCCCGGGATGCTCTCCAGGCTCTCTCCCATTCCCGGTCCCGCACATCCCGGGATGCTCTCCAGGCTCCCTCCCTTTCCCGATCCCGCACATCCCGGGATGCTCTCCAGGCTCTCTCCCATTCCCGATCCCGCACATCCCGGGATGCTCTCCAGGCTCCCTCCCTTTCCCGATCCCGCACATCCCGGGATGCTCTCCAGGCTCTCTCCCATTCCCGGTCCCGCACATCCCGGGATGCTCTCCAGGCTCCCTCCCTTTCCCGATCCCGCACATCCCGGGATGCTCTCCAGGCTCCCTCCCGTTCCCGATCCCGCACATCCCGGGATGCTCTCCAGGCTCTCTCCCATTCCCGATCCCGCACATCCCGGGATGCTCTCCAGGCTCTCTCCCGTTCCCGATCCCGCACATCCCGGGGCTCGCTCACCCCGGGTCGGGAGGCGGGAGCGGGACCCCCGCACCACGCCCCGCCCCTCCTCGCCCCGCTCGCCCAATGGGGACGCGCGGGCCCGCCGGCGGCGCCTGTGATTGGCTGCGGGCGCTGCATATATTATCGGCGCGGCGGTCCCGCGGAGCGCGCGGACCCGGCGGCCGCGGCTGAGGGAGCCCGGGATGGTGGCGGCGGCGCCGCCGGGGCCCGCCCGGCCGCCCGCACATGGCGCGGCCCGGAGGCGGCGGCGGGGCAGCGCCCGGGGCCGCTGAGCCGGAGCCGATCGGAGCGGGACGCCAAGGAGAGGCGGCCGGTGCCCCGCCGGCGCTGATTTGGAGCCTGGGGTGAGTCCGCGGGGTCGCGGGGAGGAGTTGGGGGACGGGGATTGAGGCAGCGGGGGGGGTCCCGCCGGTGGTGGGGTGGGGAGGGAGCGCTGTGGGCCGAGCGGCGGCTCCGCAGGGGCGGAGATCCCGGGTACCGACGGCGGCTCGCTCGGTGACCTTGGTCAAGTTGTGTCCCCGCTCCGGGCTCGCTTCGCAGCCTCCCCGGCGAGCTCGGGTGACGGGAAGGCACCGAGTCCTGCCCGGCGGAGCCGCCCCGGCGCGGGGCCCCACAGGTGAGGGGCGGCTGCCACCGGCCCGGTGGGACCGGGTACCGGCGGGCTACCGGGTTAAACGGGATGCCCGGGATGCTGGGACCTGCTGCTGTGCTCTGAGTGCGCTGCTCGATGTGAAATGCCCGTGTGAGACACCCCGCTCCCGCAGGGACCGGGGAGATGTCCCCGCAAGTGTTGAAACGCGCATTTCTCCGATGGGCCCCGATCATCAGTGGCCTGTGGGGGGATCAGTTCCGTGAGGGGATCGCCCGTTCCCCGCACCGCAGGGCCCCGCTCCGCAGCATCGAGTCGAGCAGTGGGTGCGTGACCCGTCGGGAGATGTTTGCTCGCCTACCCGGCACAGCTCAGATAGGGAGCTCCCCTCTGCCAGGCTCCCTTCCCTTCACACTCATCTTTCCAGTAACAAACAAAACTCAGTGCCTTTAAAGCGCTGGATCGCATCAGCTCCGGGCGCAGCGCTGCCCTGTCCCTCCCCAGGGACCCGCGTGTGGCTGCCCGGGGGCGGCGGTGGCGGCTCCCCGAGTGTCCCCGCCGCGGTCCCGGGGCCGGGCACTCCGAGCCCGGGCGCTCGGGGCGGGTGGGACCCGCCGGCAGATGTCAGTGTCCCCTCTCTGTCAGCAGCCAGGAGGGTCCCTGCCAGCCCCGGAGGCCCCTGCACTTTCTCCGAAGCGGAGGTGCCTTTGGTGGCCGTGCAGTAACAGTTTGGGGAGCTGGGTCTCCAGGGGGGTAGCCCCGCTCTGACACCTCAGAGGAGCGCTCCCTCTCTCTGCCCAGCACCAGCCACCCACCACCTTATTTATCCTGCACTGCCAACGCTGAGCTACACTTGTGCATCACTGCCCGTCCGTGACACTTGTCACTCGTGTGAAGGCAGGAAAGGGAAGCAGTGATCCTCACCTTGCACTGCCTCCTGCATGAGGATGGTACTGGGCTTGCAGGATCTGTTAGGAGGAAGGAGCCATCCTCCCTGGTGAGGAGGCTGCAGGGCTGCTCCCTTTCCCTGGCTCCTTGTGCACAGGGTTGCTCTTTTTCCCCATCCCCTCGTGTGCAGCAGGGCTGCTCTTCCCTGGTCCCAAAGATCCATCTGCAGGGATTCTTTGGTCTGAGAGCTCAGCGCAAGGTGGGGAAGCCGGAGCTGCTGCTGCCGTCATTGTGCTGGGGGGGAAATTCTATTTTGCACATTTATTTGCTTTATTTAAGAGGCTTTTTGCCCGTAGGTGTGAAAGTCTCGGGTGTGCAAAGCCAGAGGGCAGAACACATGGCACTGGTGCGACTCTGCACGCAGCTGCCATCTCCCCTGACAGCGGCCCAGGCTTCAACTCATTTGATGTCTTATGCAAATCCTCGGCTCCCTGAGTTCTGGGATTTTCTGCTATTTTCCTTTACTCTCATCTTCGAGTGTCTCGCTCTTGAGGATGTGAAGAAAAGCTAATAAAAGGAACCCAGGTCGCTGAGTCCTACAGGTTTTCTAACCAGTCTCATGAGCTGAGAGGAGGAGGGGGCCGGCAATGACTTGGGGTCCCTCGGCTGTGGTGACTGATCGGGCTCCAGAGGGTGGCAGCGGGAGAACCCGCTCCCAGCCACGGCTGCGATCCTCAGCACCACGGCTCCGAGGTGTCTGTCTGTCCCCACGCCCGGAGCCGTGTGGCCGGGGCCGGCTGCCAGGTGGCTGCC